TCAGGCTCAGGCTCTCCAGGTGCCCAGGGGTATCACGGCTCACTCCACTAGGAGCGCGGCTACGTCAGCTGCCTGGGCTACCCAGGCTCCAGTAATCAACATTTGCCGGGCAGCGACGTGGGCCTCCCCGTCACCCTTTATTTGGCATTACAGGATTGACAGGTATGCCTCAGCTGAGGCTTCCTTCGGTAGAAGGGTTCTACAGAGGGTTCTCAGGGAACCCGAGGGGACTGCAGACCAGACGGCGCCCCTCCCGTAGGACAGGCCCAGCTGGATGATCCGAGCAGCTCTAAGGAGAATGGGCGTTGGTTCTTACCTGACACACCATTTCTCTTGGAGCTGCGAGGATCATCCAGCCCCTCCCTTTTCTTTCACCGTCTGGTGGGGTCTTGTTTCGGCCAATGAACCTTCAAGTCTAGTCAGATGAGAGCACGAATTCCTGTTTCCTCTCGTCTTCGCATAAACTGGGGGAACGCTCTAAGGAAGTCACGTGACGGAAGGAGGAGCTTTCCTCAAGAATTAGCTCAGCCTACAACAGCAGAAGACACTCTCTGGATGATCCTCGCAGCTCCAAGAGAAATGGCGTGTCAGGTAAGAACCAACGCCCATTTTCCCAGGCCATATTCTTTTTCTTCCCTCTCCTGCAATTCCCTTTTGAATTTGTTCATTTCTGCGCAATCCGTTACTTTTTTTATACTCATGTCATCTAATTTCCAATTTTGAGCATATAATATCCTGGCCACTGTTAATATCATTAAACATTCAATATTTTTTGTATATTTACCTTTAGTTATTCCTAGTAGGAACATTTCAGGTTTTGGTACTATCTTTAGTCTTGTTATTTCCTGTAACCAGATTTTTATCTTATTCCAGAATTGCTTCGCTTTTGGACAGGTCCACCACATATGAAGGAATGTACCAGGTTTCTTTTTACATTTCCAACATTCTGGTTTTAAATTTGGGTAAATTTTAGCCAATCTCGCTGGTGCTAGATGTCAGTGATAAAACATTTTGTACAGATTTTCTTTATAGTGTATGAGGCTACCAATGTTAATTTATAATTTTTGGTCCATAATCTTTCCCAATCTAATTGTATACTGTATCCAATTTTTTTCATGCAGGTTATCATTGGTTTCACCGCCTCCTCTTCTCTGTCGAATTTTAAAAGATCATCTAATAATTGGTTATATCTAATCATTTTATTTATATCTGAAGTATTTGGGTAGATCATAGCTTCCATAGTGGAAATCCAGCCTGGTATTTTAATGTAATTTTTTTCCCTGATTCTATTCCAGATCTCCCAATAGTGCCTCTCTTATTCGATGATTTAGGAAGTGTGAACTTGTCTTATTTCTCTTCTCCCACATAACAACAAGCTCTTTCATCTCTTTTGGGGTCATGGAGTGCATATTTGGCTTGGGTAGTTTAGCCCCTGGCACGAACTCTACAGCACAGCAAGTTTAGCACCTCCTCGCTGAATACCACTGCTAGGTTCTGATACACTCTCGGGATTTGGGGGATGCCTGGGAGCGGTTGTGAGGCAGCAGCAGCTTTCTCTTCCAGTTAGTGTCATCCCGTGGCTGGGCAGCCTGTCCTCTGGTAAATAGACGAGGGGGGTGAGCACCTATCCCTATTTTCAGTTCTCTGTAGCCATCTTTCCATGTGATGGTAGGTTCCAACTTGTCCAGCTTCAGCCCCAGGATCACCACCTCTCTCATCTTTGGTGCCACCATAAAGTGGAGGCGCTCTCTGTGGTGACCCATTTCCAGTCTTATGAGCTTGGTAAGGAGGGTGGCAGGGGCACCACCTATCAATGATCCATTGACCTGCTGAAACTGTACGGGTCGGGTCATCTTCATTTGGATCCTCAGCTTTAGGACAGTGGGTAGGTTGATCAGGCAGCAGGTACAGCCCATGTCAATTACGGCCTTCACTTACCCCTGAGTTTGGCGCTGTTATCTTCAATTTAATAATGGCAAATGGCTTCACTCATTATCAGGTCATCTTCACCTTTGTTGTCGCTGTCATAGGTCACGGGCGTTCCCTCTCCCTCAGCTGGGCGGGGGGTGGGGACCTCTGTAGCCTGGCGGGTGAGTTTTCCTCTTTTCCTCCTCCTGCACAGTTTTCTCCTTGGCCTGGTCAGATCAGGGGCTTTCGACTCTGGTGTGGGATTGGGAGTGAGGGCTCCCGGCAGCTCTACGGGCCCCTCAGCTGGCCATGGGGGGGATATCTCAGCCCTTTCCCAGGGTTCCCAGTGGCGAATTGTTGACCAAGTGGGCGCCTCTTTGGTTGGGCGCCTGGGCTGCCGACTGGTGAGACAAAGGAATTGGCGCAGGAGGCAGAGGCGGGTCTGAGGTAAGGACCCATTGCAACTGGATCCAGCCACAGCTGGGGTGGTAATCCCATTCAGGCAGTTCCCAGCCCCTCTGGGGGGACATGGGTAGCCGTGTGAGTTGCCTCCTCCCTCGCTGGGTTGCTCTGGTGATTCCCTTGGGGCCATTGCTTAAGGATTCCACAGACAGGGTGAAAGCTTCTAGCCGTGGATGAGCTGGCACTTTGGAGGCTAGTATTTGATCCGCGGTGGGGCTGCAGGCTGGTGGGGAGGGTGGACCGGCCCTGGCAGCTGAAGTGGGTGAGGAGCAAGGAGCTACTGGGCATGTGGCCAGCGTAACCCGGATTTCGGTTCCCGTCAGGCTGCACCGGCCATCTGCTGGGGCTGTGGGCAGTCGGGAAAGCGGCCTTCTCCATGGTGCCTTGGTGGGCTCTGCTACGGCCCTGGGTGGTCATGGCTCATCCTGCTGAAGTCCCTTGGGAGGCTCCCCACACTCCGATTGCGCATCGTCACCAAGAAATCCTGTGGCCTCAACTCACCCAGAGTTGATGGGCCCCATCTCTTCCTCAGGTGGTGACAGCAACTGGTCCTACTAAAAGGTACTAAAAGTTCCTGCACTTTCCATCCCACTTAAAGTTTCTCATTTTTTTCTAAAACAATATGTCACACTGTCCAATCAGGATAAGGGCTGGTTGCTTGGTGATTTCTCTCCTCCTCTGGCCAGCCTGCCATTGGAATGTATCTGACTCATTGGCTAACTATGTTGTTTTGGCTGAAGTCTTCATCCACCTCTGCTCTCCTCCTTCAGCTCCAAACTGTCAACCTGAATTCATGTGAGAATAACCCATGGTAGAAACAAACCCCCCACCGGAAAGGAACCGTCCACCACTCGGCCAGATTCAGGCTTGACAACGGGCCAGTCCTTTGCTGTTTCTATTGCAGCCCCACGGGCCAGATCTAAGCACCCCATGGGCTGGATCCGAGCCCCGAGCCTTGAGTTTGACACCCCTGGTCTACAGTTTCAGAGTATTTCTTGCTACTTGGATGATGCTAGCAAATTAAAGAGATGATACTAGCAAATTAAATACTTGCAGATGCATCTAATGCATTATTTGTGACATATCTACTGGTCATGTATTTTAATTGGTTTCTAGTTATTCTATATCACATATATTTATTTTGTCTGCTAGCAGTCGAGTGTTCTAGGGAGAGAAGATGATTCTGAATGGTTTATAATGTAATAAAACAGTCCCTATGCGCTTGTGCTGGCCACCCACACAGTCCTATGAACATGGCCTGCTCTGTACTCCTGGACACCCTCCCTGACTGCAGAACACCTCTTGTACATTCTTGTGCATCATTTCCAATTTGTCTGACGCCTCTTGCTCACTCTTTCAACCCTCCATGACCCATGCTGACTCCTGTGCACCCTTCCTGATGTGCCCTCTGGACTATCTCTGCCCTGCATGGCAGTCCTCACATACCCCCTACACAGTGCCTCTTGAGTGCTCCTTCCAATCCTCCTCCCTGTGTGATAGCAGCCACTTTCCTGCCTGTAAACCTTGGGACTTGCAACTTCCTAGTGGCTTCCCCATTGACTTGTGTTGTGAGAAGCTGGCAGAAAGTTGCCTTCCTAACAACTATGGGATTCAATTAACAGTAGTTACCAGGACTACGGGGATTGCCATCACTAAGTAATGTTGTCATGCTTTATGACTATTTGCCATTGTAAGTTGAGGATTACCTTTATCATCAAGAAAAGTTCTGCAGAATTTTTTAAAGATATAGAATAAAGAGATATTTGGTTGTATTTTAAGAGATAATTATAAGTTTTTAGTGTTGATTATACTGCTCGGGATGAAGGGGGAAGTTTTTTTATTTCTTTTTTATCTTTTTATTTTCCATTTTTTTATTTTTATTTTTAAGGTATCTATTTTGTACTGTAGATGTATATGTTTTATTTGTATGATATATTTAATAAATTAAATAAAAAAGCATTGATTTGAAAAAATTAAAAACAAATAGTCAGAAAAATACTAGGCAAAATATGCTAAGAAGGATACAGAGATGTTTGTGGAAAGTGGGATTGGAGGAGAAAGAGAAACAGCAGTATAGAAGACACAGTAGCAAAAAGTAGGCTAAAATTACGTAATTTCGGGCATGAATGAAAAAATAAAACAAGAAGTAGCATTAAATGCATTAGGGAAAGCAGGATGATATATCCTACTTGAGATCAGATAGGAAAAAAACAGTATGGCAGTATTTCTGAACTGACTATTTAATGAGAAATCTAGCAGTGCATTGAAGGAGAGATACAGATGAGAATGTGAGGAAGTGCAATGGGGCATAACTAACCTTTGGGCTTCATGCAGCCCAGAACACTCACTTTTTTGTAATCCTATATGTCAGTGTTGAAGTATGAAAGGAACTGTTTTTATAGTTTTTATGAGTTTGTAAATTCAGTGTTGACAAACAAATAACTACCAATTATTTATAGTATATAAAGCAGACTGCTGTGGTTCAGTTCAGATCATTGCTACTTTCCCTAAAAAATGTCTTCTGTCTCTTTTCAAACTGTTTATTTTGGGGCATTTGTTTCCTAATTATTTGATCAGATGTAGAGAATATGCATTTTTGGTGGAATAGTAACTTGATGTCTCTGTTTCAGGACTGCCAGGATTGTAGATAAGAATATTTACATTGTACAAGGTGAAATCAATACAGTAATAGGAGCCATAAAACGCAGTGCAAGATGGAGTACTCATGTACGTTTGGTAAGTTACTAGAAATGGAAGAATTGTATTAATTAACTCCAAATTTGTCTAATACAATTTATCTTTCAATGTTAAGTGTTTAAGAGAAATTACAATAATTAATGATCCTATGTTAATATATGCAATTTTAATCTTTTATGTCGGATCCAGTAACCTGAAATGATTTCAGGGGTATCACAAATTGATTTGCTAAACAAGCCCAAAGGGAATGATAATCAATTTTTTAAAAATTCTACATAAGATTAAAAGTCCAGTGATGAACTTGAAAATCTGCTACATTAAACCTACCATTTTCATAAAAATCAAGGAGCCTTTTCCCACTATAAAAATTTTCTTGAGTTTTATCAATCTGGGCAACATACATATCTAATAGGAATTATCATTGGAATTCCTGTTGAAATGTGGTCAGTCTACAAGTTAATTTGACTACATACTCAGTTCAGTCTCTCTATGCATTCAAACATATTTCATTCAATGTATTTTAGACAAAATAGCATCCCAAGTATTTTTTTACAATCCAAGCTAATTGTAAATCTCAACTTTTGATAATAATGTGTTTTTAGCTATTTTTGTCACAGTATATCTTAAATATAAGATTCATTTATTTATTTATACAGTGTGTTCAGAAAGTATTCAGCTCCCCTTCACTGTTGTCAATTTTGTTATGCTGCAGTCTGATTCTACAGTTGTTGAAATTTATCTTTTTCCTCAGTGGTACGGGTTGCAGAATCCAAAGCATGGATAGTCTCTGCTTCCTTGCTTGAAGATTGAGTCAATCAAAGCTTAGTCCCGCCTCCTTCCACTGCACATGTCCAGTTTTTGACTCAGTCTTCATGCAAAAGTGCTCAGAGGAAAAGTTTGAAAATCACGCTTTGGACTCTATGAACAGTGCAGAGAAAGGGGAATTAAAAACCTACAAACTGTGGGTTAAGTGATAGAGACGCAGACCTCGGGCAAGCGGGGAATCCACGGGTCGTTAGCAAAGTGGGAGAGCGCTAAACAACTGTTTAGGGTGAAGAAAAAAGCCGCACGGTTTTAAAGAGAGCGAGCTGCTTGCACTCGGCTACCCTGAATTAGAGGAGCTGAAGGGGAGAGAGCTCGGCCATCCAGTAACAAGCGAGCGAACAGAGGGGTTCAGAGGGTAAATAGGCAAGTGCTCAGCTATCCTGAAGAAAATGCTATCCTGAAGGGGTGAAGAATAAGCAGGAACCGCTGAACAGCTGACAGGTGTTTAGAGGGAAGCCACAGCAGCTCCGGAAGGGCAGAGCAGGCATCAGGCTGCAGAAAAATGCTTCGTGAAGCCCTTAAAAGGTAGGAAGAAGCTCCCCCAAAAACTAAGAGAGTCCATACTCGGTTGCGGCTAAGCACACTCTAAAAAGTAACCCCTGCAAGACCCAATGAAGCAGGAGACTAGAGTCCATACTCAATTGAGGCTGAGCATACTCTAGAGCGGCCAGGAAGTAACAGACCACGCCAGCTGAGCTCCAGTGAGGGCGAAGTTGCTTGTCCCAGAAAACAAAGGGGGACAATATGGCTAAGTTTTCAGAGATGGAGGCAGGCTTGGAAGACCAGGAATCACCAGACCGAACAGATCTTAAAAGGAATCAGAGAGCCCAGTAAACATCAAAGGCTGAGGAGAGAGAAAAGCCCTTCATTAAAATGTCCAAATCTGATAAAAGGATGCTTTAAGGAGACAAAAGGCCATTGAAAAGAGCTTTGCAAGGGCTAAAAAGGAGGCGGAGAGGAATGGAAATTCCCGTGCTTCAGCAAGTAGGCCAATGGTAACAAAGCAACAGGAAACTTGCTCTCATGAGGCGACACCAGAGTGAGCGAGTGAGCAGTGTAGTCAGCCAGCTCTTTGTCTGAAAGAGAGAGTGTATCAGAGATGAAGGGAAGCTCTCAGGAATTCAGTGAGAGCTGGGAGCCTTTCCTCAAGAGAAGAAGGCTGGCAATGGAGACCAGTTCAGCCCTACAGCAGCAGAACTCTGAGAACAGACCATTAGGGAGGAAATGAAAGCCCTAATGTTACAAATGCTTACAGAGGTTAGGGAGGGAAAATGTATCCAACCTAACTTTGGGAATAATGAGAGAAGGTCTGATAAACGGCAGCCCTCACTGGCCAGGGAGATGGGAGAGGAATTAGAGTCTCAGAGATCAAATTCAATGCGATCATACATCCAAAGTGAGGCTTCAACCTCAGGAGAGGAAGAACAGAGGGAGACAGCATTCTCTGATGAAGAAGAGAATGAGACAGAGGTCCCAGCTTTCACAGGCCTATTTCGCCAGCAGCTATTTAAAATGCTGTTAGGTAAAGCCAAGGTAGCGACAGGTTTGGAGATTGCCACACAAACAGAGGAACCTGCTCCAGATTCCTCAGACCCCAAGGATTGGCTTTTTGCAAGAACTAAAGTGGAAAGCAAGGTGGTGCCTTCCCCAGAGCTGTTCATGGAGGTCATGGAGGTGCAGTTAGACAGCTCAGTGATTTTCCCAACACCAGGTGGGAATGAGAGGAAGAATTATAATGTGGAACTGGCTGAAATGATTCAAGTTCCAACAATAGATGGGCCAGTGGCAGCTGCAACCGTATTGGCCAATGATGCAGAAGAGGGTCTAAAAGGAGAGGACAAGAAGTCGGAACAGACCCTCCAAAAGTTCACCAGGCACGGGCAGTGAAGGCAACCTCAATGGCCTCATTCTTCAGCAAGGCAGCCCTGATATGTTTCGGGCAGATGCAGGAAAGGGCGCTACGTGGTGATCTTCGATTGCAACAGGACTTGAACAAGTTGATAGCAACAATGGAGTTGATTGCTGACGCCACACTTAATGGTGTCAAGTACGCTACCAAGGCTATTTCAGCTTCGGTCACAGTCAGCTGTCTAGTTTGGTTCCGCCATTGGCAGGCAGATTTGAAGCACAAGTGGAAACTTGCTTCGGCTCCAGTTAAAGCAAATAATAAAGGTATATCTGTCACAGGAGTAGCAGAACAGCATAAAAGCAATGAATAGGTCAGGTGATCACATCTCCAGTGGTGGCTCTGGACTTACTCTTGCAACTACTAGGGAAAATGATATTGTGCATCCCAATGCCTTGGGCCCAGCTGCACGCAAGAACCTTACAATGGTTTCTGTTACCTTGCCAGAGAGCAGACAAGGCAATGCGAGAACCAAGGTTGGGGTCCCACCAAGAGTGAAGCATTCCCTTCATTCTTGGTGGTGGGGATCACAGGCTATGACCAAGGGATGTGGGTTCAAGGAACCCAACTGACTGTCCATCACAACAGTCGCTAGCCTGGTTGGTTGGGGGACCCACTGCCAGGTACAAATCACATAGGGTCAGTGGTCCAAGACAGACCTCAGAAACAATATCAATTGGCTGGAGCTCAAGGCCATGCATCTCTCTTTAAGGACATTCAAGGCGAGGATAGTAGGCCAGCACGTGCTGATCCTGATGGACAATGTGACCGCCAAGGCAGATATCAATAGACAAGGGGGACTCACTCCCAGGCACTCATGCAAAAGGTGGAGCATTTAGGCCGCTGGGCGGAGAAACATCAATCAGAGAAGAACATATCTCGGGATCGGAGAATGTGCAGACAGATTGACTCAGCAGAACAATTGTCAACCACTCAGAATCTACACCCAGAACTGTTCAGGGAGCTGTCACACAGGTTCAGGAAACCAGTCCTGAACCTGTTTGCATCCCCAACAAATACGCAACTTCCGAGATTCTACTCAAGATTCCCAACACTGGGGGCGGAAAGGGCCAATGCTCTCTGAGGGCCGTGGCCAAGGGGGCTACTTTAAACATTTCCCCCGCTTCTGTTAATACTGAGGATAATCAATAGAGTGATAGAGGAAAAGGCAGAGGTTTTACTTGTAGCGCCTCACTGGCCCAGGCAGTCGTGGTACACAGATCTGGTAGATCTGTCAGTAGCAAGACCATAGAGAATTCCCCCAGACAGAATAGAGTTGAACCAGGGGCAGTTCAACACCCAGAATCGCAGTGGCTTCAATTGACTGGCACTTAAGAGGGCCACACTGAGACAGTTAGAATGTTCAACCAACGTAATACAAACACTCCAAGCCTCTAGGAGGCCGTCAACCAATAGGATTTATGATGCTACTTGGAAAGCATTTGGGGTTGGTGTTCTAAGAAACATAACAACCCAACCACAGTATCGGTGACACAGGTTCTGGACTTTCTCCAGGAGGGCCTGGAATAGGGTCTGACTCCCAACACCTTACGTAGGCAGGTAGCAGCGATAGTGGGAAATCCCTTGCACAGCATCCACTGGTCCGCATGTTGATCAGGGGAGCAACCAACCTAAGGCCACCAGTAATACACAGGTACCCCACCTGGGACCTGACTTAAGGTGCTGAAGACGCTTATAACAGAGCCATTTGAACCACTGAGGTCAGTTAGTTTGCATTCGCTCACCCTTAAAGTGGCTTTCCTAGTGGCCATAACGTTGGCCAGAAGGATATCCGAACTAGCGGCCTTATCCATAAAGGAGGATCTTTGCATATTCCACCCAAACAGAGTAGTATTAAGACTGGATCCAACTTTCATTCCCAAGGTGAATTCCACATTCCATAGAGCTCAGGAGATAGTGCTACCAGACTTCTACCCGAACCCAGTCCATAGCTTAGAAAAGAAGTGGCATTCTTTGGACATAAGGAGGGCAATACATACACTGGTCAAAAAAATAAAGGGAACACTTAAACAACACAATGTAACTCCAAGTCAATCACAAGTCCACTGTCCACTTAAGTAGCAACACTGATTGACAATCAATTTCACATGCTGTTGTGCAAATGGAATAGACAACAGGTGGAAAGCATAGGCAGTTAGCAAGACATCCCCAATAAAGGAGTGGTTCTACAGACCACTTCTCAGTTCCTATGCTTTCTGGCTGATAGTTTGGTCACTTTTGAATGCTGATGGTGCTTTCACTCTAGCAGTAGCATGAGACAGAGTCTACAACCCACACAAGTGGCTCA